TCCAGGACTCCCAGGTTTGCGGTCCCGACTGGGTGGTTCTTGCTAAGAAGACTCGGCGTTGACGTCTTTGTATGGTTTGATTGCATGCATTTGGAAATGCAGTTCAGTCTGCAAAGTGAAATAAAACACTTTACAACAACATTGCCTGGCTAACCCTACCAAGGTCTTACACATTGCAGACTCTGACTACAGTCACCCGATGTCTGTTGTAACCGATCCAACCAGCGCTTTGACTAGCGCTGAGGCAAGCGCAGGCCCCGCGGCACACACGAGGCAACAGACGGCGGCGAGAAAAGAGAAGATCGCGCTTCTTCAGGCGCAGCTCGCTGCTTTGGAGCTCGAGAACTCTGAGCTGGAAGGAGACTCCAAGAACGATGAGGAGACACCTCAACAGGATGAAGATCTGAAGGATCTGACGAAAGCGCACCAGGGTCAAGGCGGCGTGATCAAAACTGAAACGGACGTCGAGCCGCAAAAGCTGGCTTCGTCATCGTCAGTCCCACCGCCAGCGGTCTCAACCCCGGCGGTCCACCAGCCCGCACCCCGTCCGCAGGCAGTCGACTGGCAGCCCGCCAAGGCGCCCAAGCTGCTAGCCCCCTCGTTCGACGGCACGGCGGCAAAGCTGACCCAATACGAGAAGGACTTGAAGCGTTACCGATCGTACTTTCCAGAGGAGAGATGGAACGAGATCCTGTCTCTCACCTTGGTCGGGTCGGCCGCCGATTGGTTCGCCTCTGGCAGCGACAAGTGATGGAGGCTCTCGCACCAGGAGCTCTGCTATCGGCTCCGGCTCCGTTTCGGCGATCCCAACGAGCGTCCCACTGCGAAGAGGGCGATTGTCAACATGAGCAAGCTGTCGGTGTTGGAGATCCAGACGGTCCTCGACAAGTATGCGGAGGTGTCGGGTCTGTCAGAAAGCGAGATCGCGAAGGCTATCTGGGCCGCCATGTCTTCCGAAGTCTACCAGTTCGCGCGGATGGAAAATATATCCAAGGATCTCCCGCCGTCTGAGCTCATGGCGAGCCTATGGGCGGTGCAGGAGTGGGAGAGCCGAAAGGTCACAGCGGCGCCGCCTCAACCGCAGCCGCAGCCGAGCTACAAGGCGCCGTTCTATGGTCAGCGTGCGGCTCAACCGAAGCAGCAGCCTTCCCAGCCGCAGAAGCAGCAGACCAGCGTGGTGGCGGCGGTGGCGTTCGCGGAGGCTATGGCGGCCAAGTACAACTTGTCGGCGGAGGAGCTCGAGAGACGTCGTCGTGAGCACCTTTGTTTCCGCTGTGGCTCTGGAACCCATCTCAGGAAGACATGCGGTCAGGCCCCGGCGGTGGCGGCAGTTCAAGGTGAAGCCGCGCAGGGAAAAGCCCAGCCCGACTCCCCCTGAACGCGGTAGGAGTCGGGCGATACGAAGCGTTGACACAGCAGGTGCAAGTCGCGTGCGCGGGTTCTTCTGATACCGCGATGCAGGTGCAAGCTCTTATTGACACTGGATCGGTCGCCACATTTGTGAGCCGTGCTGTAGCAAATACACTTCGTGCCCCCTCATTTCCAGTTCCAATGATCAAGTTGAGGACAGTGACGAAAGAGGAGATGAAGGTGCGCGAGGGCGTGGCGCTGCGAGTTACTTTGGCGGGCCGGCAGTTGTGGGTCCAAGCGATGATCCTGGATGGGCCGGTGGTGCCGCTCCTGTTGGGCATGGATGTGCTGGCGGCGGCAAATCCTGTCATCGATCTGGCGACTCGGACGGTGCGGTTCGAGAGCATGAAGCCGGTTCGTGTCAGAGGCAAGGGCAGTCTGGGCTCGGGCGTCATTGGCGTGGTGCAGCAGGACGAGGCTGCGCCCGCGGTGGTGGCGAAAGCGGCGGACGTGCAGAACGAGGCTAAGCCGGCGGTGGCGCAAGTGGCGCGGGACGAGGCTAAGCCGGCGGTGGCGCAAGAGACGGAGGCTCAGGACGAGACTAAGCCGGCGACACAGGCCAAGCCGGCGCAGGGCGAGGCTCAGCCAGCGGTGGCGACAGAGGCCGAGCCGGCGACGGCGACAGAGGCCAAGCCGGCGGCAGCAGCGGAAGAGGCGAAGCCGGTGGTGACAGGGACCAAGCCAGCGCCGGTGGCGATCCAGCGGGAAGCGTCGGAGGCGAGGTTGCCGTCGTCAGTGGTGGCGTTCCGGCGGCGTCGGAAGCGACAGAAGCGGCGTATGTTTGTGCGCTTGGTCGCGGCGGCCGATGCGCTGGAG